TATCCGTGAACATTATCGTCTTCTGAGAGTTTATCTTATATTGGTATATCAGAGCCTAAAGTACCTTAACCACGCATGCCGGCCCTTATTGAAACGCACTCAAAACACCTCAATGAGAGGCAACCACTTGAATTGGTCGGCACACTATACACGGTTGGTATGCCGTCGGAACATTTCTCTGTACGAGTACATCAGCAGTGGAAGTTACTTCCGCATCTTGTGATATCTGCTCCTATGTTGTCCGAGTTCAAAACTCTCCTTGATGATGCATTACACCACTGGCAGTACATAATTTAACCCAAATTACAGGGGCACATGGAAACGTAACCGAACAATGTGCCCACGTGAAATGTGCGAAGTTCACGGCCAAGCTTACTTTTTTCTATGTTCATTTTGATCTCACTCTTTACCTAGGGAAAAATGTAAAACGTTTTTTACTTCTTTATTCCTGATAATCCACTGCTCTATTGTTACATTGTTCCGAGTGGTGGATAGTGCGTCGTCTCACTCATAGAAAATAAAGCACACAATGGTCGCTTGACCCAAGTGTCTGCAGAATCTCTAAATCAGAGATTTCAAATGTTGAGGTGGGAGCACAATGTCGAGGAGGTGCAGCGACTGACCCGGAATTATACTACTAGGTAACTGAACATTTTGTGTTAGCTTAACTTCTATCACAGTGTTGAGTAGAACAGCATCGTAGGAGTCGTGGGCGAGATCGCAGTTAAATAACTCCCATTTAACCTTCGGGATATTGCATTCTCCTCACGATTAAGCGAATCCCTAACCGTGCGGTTTTGTCGAGTTCAATACTCGGAATACGGAGCCCAGTGGGGATTTTAGACAGCACTAACTATGCACAAGTGGTGTATGTCGTAGACACGACGCTAAACTTTTTCCGTATCCTCAAATGTGTCGCAAATAGCATCTACAGTATAAACTCCCAGTACAGACTTCCAGTAAAGCATAACACCACTTCCAAACCTGATGCCAAGACGATGAACTTGTTAAAACTAATATCCATGTAAGTGTATCGCAGAATCAGTAGTATTTGGAAACAACCACGTATCAGTAACAACCATCAGGTCAGAATGATATGCGAGGACAAACTTTCGACACAGCACCCGCAGACGTGTGACTTGGCGACCACCAACTTCGCACCAGCCATGGACGCAAATCGATCATATTGTGATCAGTTACCAATGGAGAGGTTGTGTCCAAAACTGTCGCTCGATTTGGAGCACGAGTGTGCAATCTCACCAAGCACTTGTCTGCGCCGACCTCCGAGTGCGTTTCAGTGGATCTCCGCAACCTCGATGTAAACGGATTGACACCAGAGAGCTGGAGAAGCTAGGTGTTCTGAATGTGTCTCAAAAGGCGCTGACATCCGAGCTGAGTAACCACCCACTGAACACCATCGAACATCACTGGATGCATCTTCGCCAAACGTTACTATTAGCAGGCATGTCTTCATGTGGCAACTCAAATTGCCATACTGAAAACTGGGTTTCTACACAGTCTCTGGAACTTATGGATGGTCGCCGATGTATTCCGGCTGGAAGCGAATATAACGAGGCTCGCAAAAATCCCAGGGCAATAGTATGTGCTAGGCTGCAGAAAGACCGCGAAGCCTGGTGGTCGCATCGTGCATCAGAAATAAAACAGCCGCTACCGTTGTCAATCATTCTAAGTTATTCCATTTGATACGGGAAACAGGCAACAGGAGACCTAGTGTTAGCGAGACCATACGCGACGAAAGTGGGCAGCCGATCCACAGCCTGTCAAAACGCTTGGAGCGTTGGGCTGAACACTTTGCAAGACAATTTAACCACCCTGAGTTATCGTTTTCGCTTACGGGCATTGAGTGCCCTTTTCCCTCGGTCGTCTCCTTGAATGCGCCCTCACGCAGAGAAGTCGAACGTGAGATCAGGCTGTTGAAATTGCCTAACGCCGCAAGGTCAGACAGCATTCCCCAGCCCTCTTCAAATTCGGGGGACCTACTCTAATAGATGATTTACACAAGTTGCTAGTGAAACTTTGGTAGCAGGAGACTGTACCGACAAACTGGAGCCGTTCCGTCATTGTCCCAATTTTCAAGGGTCGCTCCCGTTCGGAATGCGGCAATCATAGAGGGATCAGTCTGATTTCGATTATTTCTAAATTGCTTGCCTCTGTCATTCTCCACAGACTGACTAGCACTCGTGAAAGCCAGATTAGTGAAGAGCAAGCCGGGTTTCGTCGAGGTCGAGGCTGCATCGACCACATTTTCACACTGCGTCAATTGTTGGAGCAACGCCATGTTTATTGTTGACCCACCGTTGTCGTGTTTATTGACATAAAAGGTGCCTTCGACTTAGTCCATCGGTGTGCCCATTGGAACTGTCTGCTGAGGAAAGGTGTACCTGATAAATATGTAAACATCAAAGCTCAGTGCGCGCATAGTTCAGGCAGAGTGTGGGTTTGTGGCAGACTGTCGCCACCCTTCAGTATCACCAGCTGTGTGAGACAAGGATGCCCGCTATCACCTATCCTCTCCAACTTCGTTATTGAGGTAGTCACGGAAACAGCATTCGCTGCACACGACCTAGAAGGTGTGGAGCGACTTCTTGACTTGGAGTATGCGGACGATATTGTCCTAATCTGTGACAGCTCCCAAACATGTCAAGCAATACTGGACCCATTAGCACTGGCTGTCTATTGTTTTGGGCCATGTTTTGCTCCATCGAAATGCAAAGTACTTCTCCAAGATTGGCAGAAACCCACCCCTGCGCTAACGCCTTGTGGTGATCATCTAGAAGTCTTTCAGGAACTCATTAACTTGGGCAGCTATATTGGCTCTTGGGGGATCGAAGACGTGGTTACGAACCGTATAGCAAAACCTCGAGGTGCATTTGCCAATCTCATTACTCTCGCCCTGAAGGGCAGAGTTTACAACGCAGCCGTCCGTTCAACTCTCCTATATGTTTGTGAAACCTGGCCCATCAGGTCGACAGACATAAAGAGGCTCGTCATATTCGATCATCGCTGCCTTCGCAGCTTAGCTCATGCCTGGTGGGAGCACCGCGTGAGCAATGAGCGTGTTCGACATCGTGTATTTGGTGCAGGAAGAGCGGTTGAACCGCTCAGCACCATTGTATCACACACCAGGCTCCGATGGTTGGGCCACGTGTTGCGCATGCCAACACACGGACTGCCGCGACGTGCATTGTTTGCGCGTTGTGGGTGCGGTTGGAAGAGGAGGAGGGGAGGCCAAGTGATGACTTGGTCGAGAGAAATGAAAGCCCTCACTTCGAAGTTGGCGTCGGTTGGTGCATCCCGACTGTCTGCCTGTGGTCCTAAGGACGATGAACACGTTTGGTTGGACACACTTGCTGATATGATTAGCAGCCGGCCCCCATTGGCGTTTATGTTGTGAGTTCCTTTGTCCATCTCCTCCTGCTTAGTCTCCCCTCCAATTACGATCTCATTCACTAGGCATAATATAACTCTTTTTACGGCACGACAGCCGACTGTTAGCTCTCCGGAACGATGCCCATCCGTTGCTGGGGACTCAGCCGGCTTGCCACTGTTGTACATTCTTTTCTTCTTGTCTTAATATTGCGGCACAATAGTTGAAGTGTTTTCCACCGGCAACTAACGTGTATAATAGTGATGATGATGGTAAAATGAGAAGCGTTTCATCCAATCTGTTTCGTAGGCTGTGCATATTGGCGACCGGCACAAGCAATCCAACCTTTGACTCTGGAGCCTAGGTACGACAATGACTAGCTGTCATCGAACTTTCGCAGTCCTCTGAACTGCGCGAAAATCAACACTATGAAGCTTACATTCACAACTGGCTGGACGGATCCGCAATTAAGCAACCGTGTTCTTTATCGTTAATGAGTTTTCCACGCAGTGATCTCCCTAGACATGGGATGTTTTTCCCTTAGTGCACACGGTCCGCCTGAGGATACGACAACATCCCCCTCCATCTCGACCAACGATTTTTAGCGAAGGAACCTGGGAATTGTCATACGGCTTCCTGTCGAGGCGAAAGGCTAATACAACATTGATTCCCTCTTCACCCTCGAGGAACAGTAAACAAACCACAAGCTCCAGGAATACTTGGTCATCCATTATTCCGGACAATAATCTTGGGCTCGCTGAATGATCCTCAGCATTGTCTTCAAAATGAAAGCATAACCAAGGTTTTGTTGAAAAACTTAACTAATGCCTTACGTGTGAGTTCCCAGAGTAGAAATACGAAAGCTGCAGACTTGCTGAATGTGGTGAAACCGCGTGGATTAAATCTGAATTGCAGAGTAATTAATTGGTTACCATAATTCGAATCGAGTTAGCGTAATCAATCAAGTGTGCGGAGCAGTTCCAAATTGAGTAGAAGGACAGAAATTGTGCAATCGCACGTTAGCATATTCCCAGTTTCTGAAATGCATCAGCTTGCGATAAGGTTTTAAAGTAGGTTTCACTAAAAGAAACAGTTATTGAGAATCGATGTTCGCTGTGTTGCGCTTTGCCTTGAGAAACATCTGATCGTCGTAGTGAATTACGTTTTTGTACTGGGAACAAAGCACAGATAACCAACCAAAAGTACCGTGTAGTGTGCAGACAGCAGCTAGCATGTATGCATCCCGAAAGTGCTTTGGCTGTTACCGAGATTATCATGGTTGATGGCACCCAAGACGTCAGTTCACTCTGCCATGGAAACTTTGCACACGGACTCTGAACATAGGCAGACTACCGATATCTTCACTGATTATTCCTAGTCAATCTTTGTTCGATTGCAATTTTTAGCTTCCTGTGTGGCTTTTCAGAGTTATTGATGATTCAATGAACCCCTATAACTTATAGTTTGCCGTTACTTTAGCTTCTGAGGAAGAAACACCTGACACAGTGACCTTCTGCATTTTCCTTACTTTAGCCTCATTTATCGTGGTTGTGAATCCCTCTCCTGCCACTAGATTCCTCGCGTATAAAACTTCTCAAATGCTTTTAAGCGAATGCTGTTTCATCCACCAAAGCTCGTGTCCACCGTGCCAGCAAGTGGAAGTGATTCGCAAATTTTCATATTGCCAGTTATTGCAAAACCATGCGATCTTGATGTTTCCATGAACCCGTGTGATCACTGTGTTACGTTTTGTCGCTGCTCGATAGCCTGCCACATAAAACAGCAGCTTGTTACCGTACCCTAACAAGTATTTCTGCCTACCGAGGAACTGAATAGGTTACCTTTTACGGTGACCTAGCTTAGATGAATATCATCTCATTTGCAAGGGTTGTATGGAAGCGGGTGTTCTCCTCGGTCACGTTTCCCTGCTTGAAGCGCTCTAATGCGGTGGCAAATGGGGAGGTGTTCCCGTAAAATTTTATGCGTCTTGTGCTTACTAAGCAGTGTCCAGATCTTTCTGTCCTTTTAGAACATGATTCCTTAGTTTTTTCTTCTTTTCTAGGCTCCGGATTTGGCATTCTGATGATATGCGCCATCGTATCTGTCAATTACTACTTTGAGCGTTTACGTGGTACTGCCTCAGGGATCGCCATGTCCGGTGCCGGCGTCGGGTACTTATGTGTCCCCTTCCTGTTTAGCTATTTGGTGCCTCGCTTTGGATGGCGTTACACGCTGCTCCTCTACTCTGCGTCCATATTCGTTTTGTTGGTGTCTGCTGTTTTGGTCATCCGTCCATTTGTGATCGTTGCTTCGGACGGATCAGAAGTGGATGAAGAGCACACGGAGAACGTGAAGCAAACTCAAGTTGGCCATCCAACCACAAATGTAAGCAGAGCGAATGGCGCTGTTCCAGAGCGATCGGAGCATCACCCGGGAAGTAAAGAAAACGGACCTGAAGCTCCAGATAATGAGGTCTCTATGGTGAGACATAGTCGGCCACCATAGCATTTCAAGTTTTTTTAAAGATTTATCTTTCATATTGTAGGAACGTGAACTTTTACTTCTCAGCACAGTTTAGTTGATTAAGCTCTATCCGGACACTTAAGTGCTAGTTATATTCACCCTCAATCGCCTTGCCACACAGAAGTGGGAAGTTAGCCAACGGGAGAGAAAGGATATAGGAAAGCAACATGGACAAATGAGGAAAGGACTATAAGGGTGAAAGACCGGGAACGATGAAGGTAGCTTGGAGTGGTTGGCACATAGGGGCTGTGGCAACTATACGAAGTCTAGACTAAACAAACGCACTAGACGGAACAGGACAACGTTAGACTAGTGAGCCTATACTATACACACAGTCTGGGCATATAATATAAGACGTAACTTTCTGTTACCGCGGTTATATGATTTAATTTAAGGACAGTAATCAACTTACGCATAGATTCGTAATCGTAATGAGGAAGGGCAGGAATTGTTAGACATGTGGCAACGTACAGAAAAGGTGCAGCGTAGCGATTTGCTAATCGGCACTCTGTCAAGGGTGAAATATTTGACCTCGAAGAGTCAAGCCTATGCCTCTGGTGCGAAGTGAAAATTTAAAGCCTTTCATAATGCTTGTTGGAAGTAAACATGTGTACAATGTCGTAAGGAAGTATTTGAATGGTTCTGGAATAAGGACATCATGTTTTCAAATAGGACATTCAGTGCTCTTTGGCCTGTACAAGGGCAGTGAGGTTACTGCAGCGGTTGCGTTAGCTACGCAGCTGTTTTGTGTTGGATAATTTTGCGATACTCCAGAATTTATGACTGAAGAGGCAAACATAGGTGATAACTAAGATGTGATCACTTTTGCCCGGTGTCATCTCGGGCTGCAGGAAACCTCTAGGTTATCCTCTTTACTACTGGTACCGCGCAGTTGCCGTAAGGAACTTGCTGACAGTATGGTGTATTCCATAGTCATATTATCACCTGCTCTGGTAACTACCGGCTCCGCACTAGCAGTGTCACCCAAACCGAAATCCATGGCAAGCACCAGGAGCTTCACCGCCCTTGGCCCCATGGTTTGTTTACTGTTTACTCCATGTATGAATACATTCCACCCACTAGTTTGTGCAACCGTGATTGATGTAAGCAACCACGCCATTTGGCCATGTGATTACAGTGGTCGCTTGGGTAGAAGTGCCAAATAGTTGCTGCTTTGAGTGCAGAATCGATCTCGGCGACTGCGAGGGTATATCATGAGCTCTCAGTTACACACGGTACAGTGGCACTTCTACGAACAATCCAACAAGATGCACAACACTGCAGCAATCTCATGTTCAGAATAGTGCATGGCACATTTCGTGAGAAATAAACAGCAACAATCTTGTGAAGAGCGGACCAAATTTCAGCATTGTTTCCTATCACCTTGGTAAGCTGAGTGAGTTTGGCACCAGCACTAATTATGCAAGGTAACAAAATATATCAAAATCCTTTACCGTTTGATCACTTTAGCAGTTAATTCTCGCCTCCATCGTTAATCCACCGTTCTAAATTAATATCTATTTATAATTTTGACTTCAGCGTCTCCAAGAAATGAGCTGTGATAATAATCTGGCAGCTTACTCACTTGTGGAAAGGTGCATACCGCCTTTGCAATCAGGTGCTGTTGTTAGCTTGGATGGAAATCGAAGTAGAAAGATGAAAAAATTGCAGACACGCGATGCCAACCCGATCGATCGTGAGCAGTTCGCATTTGAACATTTAGAATAAACAAACAAAAAACTGGAAAGAAGGAGGCTATGTTGATTGCTGCATCGGCGCACCAGAAAACCGTAAGATGAAAATAGCAAATAAGTCCATTCAAAAAGACACTGTAGCCTTCTCCTTAGATACCCGTTCGCGATTTAATCAGTTCAGATAATCGAATGTTCCCCAATCACCAACGTGTGTCGGATCCGATCCTTGCATTAAGGCACTCATCATGAAAAAAACCGCAAAGGTTACTTAGAATAGACAAAGATAGGAACGAAAAATAACGAGGTATGTTTAGTTCCTTATAACTGAAAACTATGTTACTCTTGCAATAAGGGAGAATTTCGAAGCCATGAGCAAGAAACCGAATTCAAGAATGCCTTTGAGCTCGAGACTGCGTAATATCCGAGAGGAGCCAAAACCATTGAAACGGTTGATGTCTAAATAACACCAATACTGCACATTCGCCGTATTGGCTACTTCCTAAAATTTAACTATGTCACTGATAGACCATCCCGGGATTTTAGCAAACTAAGCTTAGTGTGGAAAAGCGAAATGCTCAGATTGGTGGTCAGCAGGTATGCGTCGAACATGCTCAGGTTTGTCTAGGTAGTTTGCTTTGACGGATCGTCCACTTTAACATCAGACATTTTGATGGCAAGCCCCGAGTACATTGCCCAACGGCATCTACGAGCAGTGCTTTGCGGCTACCCGTGATCGAAGTTTAGCAGCATCCAACGTGCAGGTTTCTGTCCCTGTACAGGAGCATCGAGGTACCACTGGCTCTGTAGGCGACTGAGACCGAACAGTCACGTAGGCTTCATCGATCCACCTTACTAGATGTTATTCGGATATCAACCGTCTCAATTGTCATAGCTCCCCTCGAATATTACGCAGTCTTGATCTCAGAGGTATGCATGAATTGTATCCTATCTTGCAACCGCTTCCTCCCCCTTTAACGGGTTTTACTATTTTGCGGTTTTGAAAATTTCCTTTTGTGGTGGTTTATCGCCACCAGACGCTTGATGCGGCCACCCACACCTGCAATTTACATACTACCTCTGGAATGTGTCCTAGGCTGTTTCTGACTGTCTGAGACAGCTTCGAATATTGGTAACCAACACGTTGTTTTCTTCCAATGGGTTCTCGGGGCTTTGGATTCATCTATATTCTCTCTGAGTTTCGATACGTACATGCGTCTCCACGTCCAATACGTTATCCCGGTTTGATAACCTTGACTAACTAGCGGTCTTGCAGCGCTCGAGACCCACAACACCGAGCTAAGGAATGAATCAAGGGTTTGCGGCTACTTCCGTACTAATGACGACGGAATAAACGCAAATTGTGCAGTGGACGCTGCCTGCGGCTACTTGGCGACCTCACATTAGTATACCAAATACCGAGAGCTTTCATTCGAATACACCCCCACTTTTTGAACCAGCTCAGATACCAAGCTGAGAGGTAATAACTTAGGATAGTCGTCTAACCTACTTCTCCCTTCGGGTCTGCCGAGTCTGGAAAACCCTCCCAAACTCAGCTGTTTGTGCCTTCACGTTAACCACTTGTAAAATACACTTAGATATCGCGTTTACCTCCCTACACTTTGTTGTGCGAGCGGATACTCTGGAATGTATTCCGGCTAACTAATTTCGTGGCATTGTAATCCACACCGACCCACGTAACATGGTGAAAGGGGTGAGGAATTCCATGGTTATTTACCATGAACAGCAATCAGCTTAACTTATTCCGTTTTGCATAGTGCTGTCTTATTCCCACAACCCAACTTTTTATATGCCGTTGCCATGTCGCATTTTATTTTGTGTGATTATGTGGTCTTCGAATCTGCACTTTCTTCCTTTACCAAGCTACGGTACATGTTAAGTCTGTTGTCTCACTAACATGCACTTAGTGATTGTCTAATTCCTACGGGATCCTCTGTAATGCGCATTCCATGTGTATCCTGTAGGGTCAGAACTTGTAGCCGGCTCCAAGTAGTTCATGCAGCGGCCACTTGACTGGGTGTGCTCATTACGAGTCTCACTAGAAATTCAATCCAAATCCGCTCTGCACTGCTCTCTATTTGTCTCCCCAATGTCTGTCTTCATCTTCATTTTAATCCTCGTACACGCTTCTAGTCTAATGATATTTCGCCACTAGTAAGCATCTGAAAACATACTCTTGTAAAGCTCACCATTAATTTTTGCTTTGTCTATCGGTCTGTTCAGCTTCAACGGCACCCTGTTTCAATCAACTATCCTGATCCCAATTTCTGACACCACACCGGCTCCCGACCGAAGTGGCAAGCCATCTTCTAATACTTGCGTGCAAGCTGGCCTGCACCCTTATACACACGGCATGTGCGCGCACTCCACTGGTGGTAATTTTCCAGCATTCTGTCTGGTGGAGATATTTCCTTCTATCCACCTTCCTTTCGAATGTAAACTTTGGAGTGCTTAGGTGAACTGTCTGGTGATTACCAGTGTTATCACCGGCCAATCTAGCCCGGATCAAGCGTTTGCTTTTTGAAAATGCGGATGAGGTGAAAAGTTGCTACCACTTTATACCAGTTCGTACCTAGTTTTTAATGGAACGAATCCAATGTCTATATGATTCGGGTACTAAGCCAATACATCTGATTTTCCTATGCATTTATCTACGAAGGCTCCACTTACGATACTGGCTTTGGCGGATGATGACCAATTATCAGTCGGTGAGACGGCATTTTCTACTGCCTCTCGTACCCGTGCCTACCTTGCAAACATCAAAGAAGACAAAGCTGCCAAGTTGGTCATGCCGTTGGGGGACGAAACACTGGCTGATACTGGAGACCATGTCAATTGCGAGTTGAAAGACACACCGACACCGCAGTCTTTTGCCAATCGATCTGGCCAGTATCAGCTACGCCAGAATGGGTTACGAACATCAGGTACTTGTGGATCAATTTGCCTGTGTAGCCTCCTCTGTTTTTGACTTTTGCACTCGTTTCGTTTAATTGCTATTGCTGTATACGAGTCAGGAATTCTAAGCTTCTCAGCCGATTCGGTCTAGAGTAAGCTAAATGTATTGGTTAGAACTGAATCTTCTGCAGTATGGCGCACAGGACACTACTGTGTCCCCCATTAACTCTACTGAAAAGATACCTAACTTCACCATGATGCTATCCAGTTTACCACACCAAAAACAGGCTTAACTTGTTCATTGGTCTGTCTTGGAGTAACGGCGATGTGTCTGGATTGCGACACGCAATCACGATTGAGGTCACAGTTTGGTTTGAAACGAACCTCTGCCATTTCGACCACTGGGACCGTTAACGAAGTGAAAGTTTCAGAGCAACGCTTTCCAAACATTTGCATTTTCCCATCTGCTATAGCTATCTGCTTATAACCTGCACCAGTGAGTTGCTACTGTTCTGTTTATTTTCCCGATTACATAATAAAACAGCACCTGACTTCTACAGGACGAACAATTCATTACTGAATCGTAAGGCTGAGTCCATAAAATTGAAGTTAGTTTCCACTTAGTGTATGTTTCAGTCATATAACTTGAGCTGCGTCAGCTTGTTACCCAACTACGACTCCCAGGCGATATAAACTCCATCGGACTGCTGTGCAGCTGATTCAGCGGGGCTGGTAGGTTGTTTTCCGATGGACTAGTTTATACTGCTACTAGGTGGTCTTCGAAAATTCCCATTCACACAGCAGATGATTTCGGCTGATTAGCCATTCGGCCTGTCACCTTATCAGCCCATATAAATGCCTTTCGAACCCAACAGAACAAAGCTCATGACATTGGGAGCGATTTTATTGGTGATCGCTAAACTTGTTCACTGAAATGTACTTCAGCGTCGGCATCAAGTATACTGAAATCGCTGACCGTGTACCTAACCTCTCGTGAATACCTCTACTCTCTGAGTTCCGTTTTAAGGAAACCACTGAAGCTTCTACTTCTGGATGCAATGTTTTGATACATAGGTAAAGGCACATAGACCAGGAAAACTTACGCGCGAAGTTAGCAACTGAAGTATTTACTTAGGAATGATGAGGATGAACGGGTCACCCACCTAATCTTCAAACTGTCGGCACCTAGGTAAGGCGAAAGATGCAGTTCATGGATCGTGGAAGGATTGGATTCCTGTTTGGCAATCGACCAAACGAAAAGTCATCGGCTCCCAATGGACGCGATTCCCAGAATTCGCCCCGCTGTCTTGCGGGTAAGCTATTTATCCAAAAGTCCGGGTGGACTCCCCTAAGACACCACCCTACTTCGGCGTGGGCAACGAGATAGTACCGCGCCCTCTAAAGAAACCATTGATTACTCTTTTTTTGTTCCGTTTCCTGTCCAACAATTTTACCTTCCTTTGATGTTCATGGTACTTGTTGGCTCCATGTGTATTCGTAGACGGCGATATATATATATATATATATGCTTTATTCGATAACTATTATTTTCTATTGTTATTTCAAGTGATTGGCTATTGTTTGACATCCCGGGCGTGGCTGCGCTTGATGTGCATGGTGACAAGATGTCTACCTATCTACTACAAACTACGTCGTCCATGCTGGCTCCAGAAGACAGTTGGTCGTTGCTGGATGGGACTGGGTGCACGGTCATCGTGGCCATACTAGGCTCAAAGAGTGGTTCCATGCACTCAGTGTGGAGCGGACTACGGTCCAGTCACCATCTTCTGTGCTCTGGATTCCCCAAATACAGCGTGCTTGTGTTTGCCTGTGATGGAGTGTGGGCCGGCTCCGTCGATGAAACGTGGCTCCCATCCGCATGCCTCCCGGTCTTATTCCTTCGGGTTTACACTGGATATGTGGTGTGTCGTTGGAGCTGTGGTTGGTGCAGCGCAAGCCACCCATGGTCTTTCTGTAGACAAAGCATCCTATGGCTGTCCTATGGAGGTCACAGTGACATGTAACTCCGAAACCGAATGCCGCCAACCATGTGGACATCTCCTCAGCGAATGAGTTCCGATGAACTCGGTGGCTTTGTGCAATAAGTGAGCTACGCAGTCCTCCACCTTGTGTTCATTAACTTGCTGGCGAAGAAGAGGTGTGTTTCATTCGCCGTATTCTTTATGAGAATAGGGCTTATAACCACCACAGTCCCCAAAGTCATAGTATTTTGCCATTTGGGTCATCTCACTTGGTTATCTAGCACAACCGTTTTACGACGAGATGTTGGTAGCTGCATCAAAGGCCGCTTTTCAAAAGCCACAAATGGGTTCTCCTTTGTCAGAACATTTTGGCGTCCAAGAATCCTTCTACTACGGGCCGTTCGCATCTATATTGACTAGTGTGAAGTGGGGAAAGGGCTTACGTAAACCTGCTGTGAGGACCGTATGCCATTTTCCGCGCTATTCGCGTAACCGACCCAAAGGAGCCCTCTCGCATAATGGAAAAAATCACTTCGGTAATTGGTGTGTTTGTCTACTCTCCTATCAGAAAGCTTTCCGTCCTTGCGCCCAGTTAAAAGAATGATATCCTCTACGATAAGACATTAATTGCTAAACTACTGGTGTTACTGGGAATACCATCGCTCTGCCTGTTTTCGTCCGATTCTGACACATTTTCCCGGAACATTGTGTATCTGTTTGCAAGACAAATAGCATGGCTTTTCTACTTCCCGTCATTCCACGACCAATAAACTATACACTTTGTCTTCGCATCAGTCGGCCGTGCTGTCTGTCAAGACGTGAATGACCCTCGACTCTGGCAGCCAGCATTCCAAACGTTGCACACGAGCTTGTGTATATGCCCGGAATGGAGTGGCACTATGTCACGAGATAAGTTCAGTGTGCCATCCTCCAATGGATGAGGCAGATGCCGATGTTGTTTAAACATCCTCGAAGCACCGAGAGTTGAAGCTTATTGCAAGCCAACTTCAAAAGACTCAACATGGAGGCATGCTAGGACACTTTTTGCCACGTTGTCAGATGGAAGGTGTCAAAGTCTGCAATACGTAAAAGACACACGTCTTTATTTATGGATCAATTCTGTTGCATAATGTTTCGATTTCAGTAATGAACGAAGGATTTCCTGTTAGGTTTTCCATTGACAATCTGTAACGAAATAACGTGAGTAATGGAGGTCCGTGTGAAATTTAAGACGGGCTAAACGTGTTTAGATCAACATAAGCACGATATAGGTATGAACTAATCTGACTGTTAAATGTACAACATACAATGTTGGGATCAAGTTGCACTGAAGAAAACTCTTCACTTCAGATAGACAGCTCCGCAGACTTGGGAATAGCCGACGTGATTACTTCAGCGCGAACCAACGTCCTAACTGAGTTTGTGTGTCACAATCGAAGCGCACGGCTGATGTGTTAAAGTTACTATTAATACCCTTAATTTTATCAGCCAGGGAAACTAAGTGTACCCTATTTTGTGTCTTAGCCTTTCATTGGTTTGTCCAAGTGTTTATTACTATGCACTGAGTACCGTTGTATTTATTCTGTGTATAGGACCATTGGCCGCAGTTAATGAACAAGCTGATGATGACCTCGGCTCAACTGTGGGCTCACGGCTGTGGAAGTCTACACTGGCTTTCAAACGGAGCAATCCGCCTCCTCGTTCTCAGCGTACTTACTCCTCTAGTCGCATAAGGAGTGTCGAATCAAGAGATGCTTCTTCACACCCGAATGTGAAATGCAAGAGTGCCGGTAAGAAAAGCTTTGTCTTGGACCCCTTTGAGCAGATGGACGTCTTTTTCTCCGGCAGCTTGGCAAGCCTTGGCTATTACGATACACATCGTACAAGGCACACATCTGAGCAACGGAGTACCCTGTTCAGCTCTCAACTGCACGACCCTTCACGATTTGGCTCCTTGCAGTCTAGTGCAATCCAGTCCATTAATCACGTTGAACCGAGCCAAACACAATTTTATTGTCCCAGAGTTGGCTTCACTGACATTGCGGACCGACCGTCTGAACTTCTTGGGGATTATGAAAAAAGACCACCTTCGAGTTGGCTAAGCAAAGTGGACGAGGCTGATTGGTACGGACAGCGGAATAATTATATCACTTCAGAAGAGACTGTAAATCACCAAGCCACTTGGGATAGTGAATACAGGTTAAACAAGGTATTACGATTTCGTGAGTGGATCGTGACTGTTTTCGATCTGAAACTGTTCACTATTCCCTCATTCCTTTTCATTACGGCAATCGGGGTGGCAACCCAACTGGCGTATTTCATCCCATTTGTGTATTTGACTGACTTTGCGATGAGCAAAGGTATGGAGCAAAACGACGCAAACCTTCTGCTTGTAATTCTGGGTAAGCGATTTTCCCTAACCGGCTGTTTCAAGTTTATTCCCAATTTGTTCACTTGTCTTTGTTTATTCCACTTTACCTTACACTAACATGTGTGCATGTTGTCTGTAAAGCTATTGCTGACTGTCGTGAACCTTGAGTGCTCATTCATTAGCCGCGTTTCATGGTACTCTTTGGTTCGCGTGAGGTGCTGCGCATCGTTAATTTCGCTTTATCAGGTTTTCCACATTTGGTGACCACTAGTGGCATGAGTGCATAATCCCTCTTCAACACCACTTCAGTTGTGCTCATCAGTAACACTTGTCTGAAACGTTTAACATTCATGATAAAATACTGACCAGTTAACAGAAATGCTTGTCTCAATCTACCCTACATGATACTTGTTGTTTTTACTACATCAACAAGCAATAATTTGAATAACAGTCTGCTGACTGACACCGTTGACCCAGCTGTGAATGCACCCTCGAGTACATTGCATCAGTACAATCTGCGTGAACTGCCGCGAAGCGCAAGCGGGGTATCAGTATCTTGCATTTTAGACTAGCGACTGGCTGTGGCGAACCGGCACTCTATGACGCGCGTCATACTACGGCTTGTGGTGCAGGTCAAGGCGTGCCTCGGGCGAGGGGGCTTTCACTCCATGCTACTGACTGACCGGTGTTGCATTCCGTTTTGGATACAAGACTTTCAGGGTTCCACAAGGGTAGTACGAATAGAGACGAGTTGGCCTATATTCTCTTGAACGACCTAACAATGTTGCTCCAGCAGTCTTTCCTATCTGTTCTCCATCCCGTTAACATGGACTGCAGTCCGGCTGAAGATCCAGCAGGGACCGGAAGCTATCTTATTTACTAGGATACCTGAAGAGTTAAGCGTCACTATTGCTTTTAACGGGGCGTACTTATCAGGTAGCAAGGGCAGCGACTAGTTGCCCTCTAACTAAACAAAGCTGATGCTATTTCATTTTTAACACATCTTTTTAGCTATTTTGAATCAGCACCCCCCTCTAGATCGCAACTGGGTTTCTTACTACTACAGCACCATGGCTGGGAAAAACACTAGTCACAGTTCCCATCCATCTAGTAACATTTTCATATACCTCAAAATGGGTCAACAATGCTACGACTTTTTCGCTTCTTTGCAACTCGGACTTCTCCTATATAATAGTCTGACGTGATACTGTCACTTAAACCAGCCATTCTCAACTGACCCTGGGATGAGAAAAACCTTTTATGGGGTCATAGAGGACCATACTCTGAAAAGTACGTTGTGGTAACAAAAATAACAACATGCATTTAACAAATTTTCTGATAGTTTCTCTCTGCGCACTAATCTCCCCTGGTAACTACTGGACAGTGAAATGAATTACGCGCGCGCAAGTGGCTGTTTACGAAGTGTGAAATCCAGATCGGGCAGACTTTCTGTTGCGGAGCTGGCATAGCTCCGCCAAACTTGTGCATTTTTCGCCGGGCTCACCTCAAACATACAAACAACATACGGTGACTTGGACTGTGCAACTAACAACCGATTCGTCCTCAGGACTTTGATGCCTATCTACAGTGAACCAAATCTGCTTTACTAAGTACATTGGTGCATGTACTGTGCAAGCTGCAGTGAACCTAGCGGACTCTTGTCAGAGCACTGCGGCAGTTACCGCACAAAGCTACAATGACACTACTGAGTTTTCCTCAGGACACTACCGCTATGTGACATCTCATGTGCCGGTCAGTCCTTCTCCTTCGTGTCTCAGTGCAGTAGGGCTAGGTTACACGTTTTTCCTCTCCAGTCTCAGTTCGTATCTACGTCTGGCGGTTACGTCACGTTCGCCCGCAACGTTCTGGATTCAAGTGGCTACTCTGCACACATGGGATACTACATAACGTGTGCATCAAGGTACTTCTCCTAGCAATGATAATAATCAAATGTTTTGCCAACACGCATTGGGTGCCATGTTTAGCAATAGCGAATGCAGGTTATTTGTTTCGTAGTTGGCTCTTCCATGACGGCTTCTTTAAGTCTCCAGCATTTTCTTCCGTGTTTGTCGCTTCTGTCCTTTATTTTACCTTCTGCCACCGTGTGCTGCAACTTTATTGTATCCACCGAACATTGTTATTTTTTGAGTTCCACTTATTTTCTTCATTTGCTTTTCTCAAGAAGTTTTCTTCGGTCATTTCAACTATGTTCGGTATTTTCAAAGTGATTCTGAGAAAGCCCCTTTGGGTTGGCTCTGACAGAGTTTCTACACTTTTCCATTTCTCCTTGTGGTCACCAACAGATGTTATAAGTATGCTCACCAAATGTGTCTATTATCACACGGTCATGCAAAAATACGTTAAGTGCCACCAACCATTCATACCATCTGCGTGTTTCGCCTCGTCGAATGATGTTATTTATTACCCATGATGTAACTGTGTAAGAAAAATAAAACATAAGCAATATATATATATACATTAACAATTTACATAGACATTTCACATGTCGATCGCTTCTCTGAGCTTGATTAATTTATTGCATACGTTTCACCACCGTGCGAGGTGGCACCTTCAGTGCGTTGATATGCCGTGCACAATACTGTTTATCGTCAGTCCGTGATTGACGAGCAGGTGACTTGAAAGTGGCAGTTTCGATTTTCGCCTCGTGATCTCTGTCCATTCTCTCCGGTGGCTGGACCATGTCTTTCTATTCGCCGGAGATCCTACTTTCTGAGCTGATGTTACACGGGATCGATGTCGATGCACATGTTGATCGAGTTATTAGAGGAGTACCATGCATCTAGGAATTCTCTTCCTTTCTGTGTTGTTGTTTGAGCTAAAATCACGGTTTTGTTCCAATTAAATCTATGTTCCTCCTCATCCACATGCGCTGTGACAAGAGACGGTGCATACTGTTTTTTTACAAGCCATCTGATGTTCTTGTATCCTTGTGAATATTTTCCATCTTGACTGTCCCACATAATTCATTCCACAAATTTTGCAAATTAGTTTATACACGACGTTTGTTCGTTTGTTTGTGCTTTCCGATTATCCTTTGGGTTTGACAGTATTCTTCTCAACGTAGCAGTTGGCTTGTGTGTTATCACCTTTCAGTAATGGGTTCCTCTGCAAACTGATGTCAGCAGTACTCCGTGCGATACCCGTCAGTTGGATTTATCGAATAACCCCAAAACCTCCCTCTAACTGTGTACAATTTGCCGAAACACCTACAAATGAAAGTATGCGATAGGGTAAACTGAAAAATCATTTGTAAAGTGCTCATAAGGGGTAATGCGGAAAGTATGGGGATTTTTGCAGAAAGCTGCGGCCTAGTTCTGATAACAGACCAACTTTAAAGACAAAGTTTCTGACAGGGCAAACGAAGGCAACTGGACTTACTGTGTTTTAGAAAATCAGCAAGTTGATTGCTAAAATTTGTAGTCCACATATTGTTGGAGAAAATACTATCTTGCCTCCAGTATCAATAATACTGTCGGACCTGGTGCATATGAATCCACAAGAAGCAGCTCAAGCCATTCCGCTCAGAAATTCGACTGTATCTAAGCGTATGGATGAGATGACCCAGGACACAGAAAGTACCTTAGTTAATTTAATACAGTCCAGAAAATTTCATTACACGTAGACGAATCTACTTTACCTGATAACGACGCTCATCTCATGGTATATGTCCGATTCTTCACTGATAATAAACGAGTGGAAGAGATGCGCTTTGCTAGGAGAATAGAAAGTAATACAAAGGGCCAGTCTATGTCTGAGTTAATCAATAGCTATCTGCCTGAATACTTCATTTCAATACAGAACACAGTTGCGTGTGCAATAGGTGGTACTGCCGCAATGATCGGAAGATAGAAAGGATTTAGTTCCAATCTAGAGAAGGTTCTCTCTACTGTTCATACACTTCTCTGTGTGATTCACCCGAGAGAACCTAGTGGCCATGAACTTGGGAGGGCGATTAAACGATTGTCAACTGTGATATTAATAGTTACCATTATTAAACCGCAGTCTCTACAACATTGTCTTTTCCAGCAGTTGTGTGTGGAGAGAAGTGAAGAGTTTCAGATCCTCCTGTTGCATGCAGAATTTAGATGGATCTCTAAGGGCAACTGCCGTCAGCTTCCGTTACACTCTGGGACACGATTATTAGATTCCTTTCTGGAACTAATTAGGAAAAAACTGTTAACAGCTAAGCCAGATGTGGTTTATCTGGCTGATGTTTTTTAAAAGCCGATTTATTAGCTAAAACTCTTCAAGACAATTTGAGTAATCTTCTCTCGAGCAAAGAAGCCAGTATCGCTTTTCTTAAACAGCTGGCAGTGTATGCTCAAAACATCAGACGTCGAGAAGTTTCAGTTACTAATACCTGCTACAGTAGCGGAGAAGCTGAGTGATGAGCATTTGTTTGTTTATACCAGTCATTTACAACAACTCCAGAAAGAAACGAAAGTCAGGTTTCATGACCTGATTGACATGGAAGTCCGGATTTGGATTTTAGATTCATTTGATGTACAGCCCTGCGATGTTGGAGTTAAAATCCAGGAAAGTCTCATGGAGCTTCAAAGTGACACACTAGCAAGATCCAAATTCATGCAATATAAAAGGGATTTTTGGATAATTACTGATGCCCTCAACAGATATACCAGACAGTTGGAAATAGCTTAAATATATTTCCTTGCTTTCCCATCAACATACTTGGTTGAATGTGGATTCAGCAGAGTGGTTTCCCTAACCAAAAGTGGAAACAGATTGGACATCACAGAAAGAAGAGATATTCGACTCTCACGGTCAAGTCTGGAGCCGGACATAAGCAAGCTTGCTCAAGGACATTGGGCCAAAGCTCGCATTAATATCTCGACAAACATTGTTAAGAGGACTACACCACCTCATTCATGACATATGTTACAGTTAAATGTCAAAGTAATTAAATATAATTTGAATTATTAATGACGACTTTTGTGTACTTACAGAAAAGCAGCTTAATGTTGCTGCACAATGAATGTTCTGTTTAGGACA